TGAGAGGCTGTGTGGTTCTTGGCTGCTGGCTGGTGTTAAACCACGACACCTGTCAAGTTACACAGCCTAAGGTTTCAGCTTCTAGACAAAATCACTGGTGTCTTCAAAGTCAAACCCACTGCCCTAGGCACACTGTTGCCAAACGTGTAGGAGGAAAGGTTGCTTGGTGGCAGCAAAATATCAGCTAAGCTCTTCTGGAGATGTTTCTGGTACCATGCCTAAGCATCTATGCTACAACCCAGCCATTATTGGTCCTACCTGCCAGGGCTGAAGCCTCTGATGAGAATGCCAGAGCAAACTCTTTGAGGACGTTTGCATGGCTGTCATCAATGAAGAAGCCAAGGTAGCTGGGGGATGAATGTAATGTGAGGGAAATGGCTGGTGGGAAGTGCTGAGAAAAGCTGTCACCGACTCGCTTTAAGGTGTCATACAATAATTCCACTTTCTGATCTTCACACTGAAAGAAAACAGAGGAGGAGGCTTTACCCACCAGCTCCACAGCCAGTGTTGTAGCCTGTGCTGTACAGTACTGCCAGAAAACACTGCAGGCATTAAACTTCCTGAGATAAACAACACACCTATGAACTTGTTTGAAATCCTTGGCATTAAAATCAGAAATATTGGGCAGTTTGATCAGCATAGTGTCTGGTTCTATTACAGGACATGGAGCCTCCTACCTGGAGGTTTATCTAGCCTGGGCGGGAAGGAGCTAAAATATTTTACTGCCTGACAGGTGTGTAGTAACCTGTCTGCAGGGGTCATGATTTCCCTCTTCAATTCCAAGTAAGAATTTGTGTTATTGTTATCCTACAGTCCTTCTCTGAAATCCCTTCTGCTAAAGACATCAGCATCTCAGATGCTGAGCCACATACCCAACAAAATTCTTATGGCATCTCTGTCAATAGGATCCATAATGCTCCAACCAGAGCAAATTAAAGGGTTGGACAGAGCCATGCTGCCTGGAAGAAAAAGTGGCAGTTCAAAGCATCCCAGTGGCTGAGCATCCAACTTTTAGGTATGCCAAGGCCTAAGGTGTTAGCTAAAGTGGGTGGTGGGAAGAAATCCCCCTATGCCTACACAGGGGCTGAACTCTCAAACATTAAGCAAGGACATCTGGACCTGAGCCATGTCAGTTTGACTACCAAGAAGTTCTGGTGTCAGACAATGGCAGGTGGCCCAGTTTCACCAGTAGATATTCAACCCTTGCATGTCTTTTGTTGCTTACCGTGAAGAAATCGCAGAGGGTGATGTGTGGGAAAACCTCATGGGCTTTGTTTTTCCCACACTGGCGCTTGCTCTCCTTCCAGAACTCTTGCAGGTGGTTGTGCAGACGGCCAGTGGGACACAAGTAAAGAGCATATTCCTGAGGGATTGGGTCATCCAGAGAGGGATCATTGCAGTGGGAATTCAACCTGAAATCAAGGGAATACCACTGAGAGTGTGTGTACCACTTACTCTCGTTTCCTGTAGTCAAAGGCATCCATAGCAGAGATCAGAAAAAGGAATTAAAAGGTTACTGTTTTCTTGCAAATGAAAAGCTGAAGTAAAAGCTCCTTACAAATTTTCTTTCTGAAGTACTCACTAATGGGCTTTCCTCCCTTTTCTCCCCTGCTTTTTGATTTACCTCAGACCTTCTGCAAATAACCTGACTTCCCAGGATAAGTGCAAATACAACTATTTCTT